TTCCAGCAATTCCAATGCTTCCTCTAGAGTTTTTGTTTTCAGTGATCGTCCTACTGCAGCATTCACCAAGGTTCTTGTGCTCGGCGTCATTCTTTAGAAGAAGATACGTCCCTTCTCCCAAGCTTCCATGCCATGTTGGGGACACTTTCGGAGCAATCCTTTGATTCTTTCCCATGCCTCGTACAAGGATTCACTTTCTTTTTGTTCAAAAGCAGTGATTTCTGCTCTGAGCCTTGCCGTCTTTGAGGCGGAGAAGAATCTGGCCAAGAACTTTGTAGCCAAATCATCCCAGTTGGTGATGCTTCCTTGAGGCAGTGGCCGCAGCCACCCTCTTGCTTCTTCCTTCAGTGAGCATGGGAATAGTCTGAGCAAAATGGTGTCACCTGAGACTCCATTCATCTTCAATGTGTCGCAATAAAGCAGAAAATTTTCAAGATGACTGTAAGGGTCTTCTGTGCTTCCTCCAGCGAACTGATCTTTTTGAATTAGTTGCAGTAGTGCCGGTTTAAGCTCAAAATTGTTAGCTCCCACGCTGGGTCTAACAATACTCGCCGTCTGCGGAACTCGGGCCGAAGTCATGTAATCTCCCAACGTCCTCAGAGGATTCTGAATTGCGTTGTTATCAGCCATCGTTTCTTCCTTCAGTTCCGTCGAGCTTGATGCTTTTGCTTCTTTTGCTTTTCTTTCTTTTGCGCTTTTTCTGAGTTTTCTGGCTGTCTTTTCTATCTCAGGATCAAACTGCAAGGATTGTGGGTTAACAGTACCTCACATAAACTAAGAGTAAAAGATTATGCAGAAAAATAGAAAATGCAGAAAATAGAAAACAGAAAATGCAGAATAACGCTGAAAAAAAAAAAATTAAAATTTAAAAAAAAAAAATTAAAAACTAAAAAAAATTAAAATAATAAAAAAATGAGTAAATATCCTTTTTGGTCCTCAGCAAATTTCACAATGCCCGCTTTAGTCCCTAGCAAATAGAAAAGTTCATCGTGGTCCCTAAGAAATTTAAAATGGACCAATTTTAGTCCTTTTGAGGACTAATATGGGTCTTTTTTGAATTTGTGAGGGACCACGATTTCAACTAAATGGGTCCATTTTGATTTTCTTAGGGACTACAATGGGCCTTTTTATTTGCCAGGGACTAAAGTGGGTATCGTGAAATTTGCTGAAGACCAAAAAAGATATTTACTCTAAAAAAATAAAATAAATAAAAAAGTTTAAAAGTTAAAAATTTAAAAAGTAAAAATTTAAAAATTAAAAAAAAATTAAAAATTAAAATGAAAATTTAAAATTTAAAATAAAAAATAAAAAATAAAAAATTAAAAGTTAAAAAATGAAAAATGAAAAAAAAAAAATAAACGAAAAAAATTCAAAAAAATATAAAGAAAAATAAAAATAAAAATAAAATAAAATAAAATAGAATAGAATAAAATTATACAGAAAATTTAAATTACAGAAAAATAAAAAGTCAAATCTAAAATGCCTTTAGCTACTTCTAATGTTAAAAGATCCAATCCCCGGCAACGGCGCTAAAAACTTATTGCGACTTCGACAAGTGCACCGGTCGTAAAAGTAATAAAGTGTACTGAGTACGAGATCGTTCCCACGAGGATCGAATTTTCAAGCACTAGTTCGCTAATCGCGGTTTAGTTTGACAATCAAAGTTGGAGATGAAGAGAATTGGAATTGAAAACAATCAAGAACATGCAAATTAAAATTCAGAATTAAAGAAGCAATTAGAAAAGATGATTGATTGATTAAGAATAAAAACAAGCGTAGTTAGGGTTTCGACTTCCCCTAATATCCTCGTTATGTTATGAATTAAACAATCAAGAACATTTTCTTAATATATTGCCAATCAATTCTTTTTAAGTTAATTAGGGCTCAATTCCTTGTTACCCTAAATCTATGTGATCTTGAAAGAACTCTAGTTCCCCCGATTATTTCTCAAGAAAACATGCATTAAGATCAAGAATTCCAAGATTGCACAATTACCCTATGTCTATCCCTAGATCACAAGGATTATGATAAATTTACCAAGTTAGGGTTCATGCACCAACATCCCTATTGTCATAAATTCCCCTAAATCATTCTATAAGGAGCAAACTCATAGAAAATATTAACGACAGATAAATTTATTCAATTATAAAAAGAAAAGAATTCAAGAACAATTTAATTCAATAACATAAAAATTCAATTGGGTTCCATCTACCGCTAACTACATAAAAGTTTAGCCTAACATACTGAATTCAAAAACAATAGTAAAGAGAAGAGAACCCCAAGCCTCCATTGGTGTAATGTTGACTTGGTTCCTCAATGTTCCAGCGCTCCGCAACAGGATTCATCCTTCATGTCTCTATGTATTTTTCTAGACTTGTGAATTGGTGTTTTTCCTTGACCCTCAGTTCCCTATTTATAACCATTGAAGCCATATCTTTTTAATTCTCCCAATGAATCCTTATCAAATTTGCAATCAAATCTTTAATTGCTTCCTTTTTTTTTTAAGATCTTGCAGATTGGTTGACAGATTGAGCTTCGAATCTTTGTTGTGATCCCTCATCAAATCTTCCCAGGGATCTCTATCAATTGATAAATCAAGATTGATTTGTTTCCGCTTTCATTCAAAATATTACAATTCTGTATCCATTGGCAAATCTAATCAAATCTTGGGCTGATTGATTCGTGTTTGGACGCTCAAGCGTGCTACAGGGCGTTTGAGCGCGCTCTTGTGCATAAAATTTCCTGAAGTTGTCTGCCCATGCGCGATCGAGCGACCATTTGGGCGCTCGAGCGTGCTCCTCGATGGTGAATTCTTGTAATCTTGGACGCTTGAGAGTTCTCTTGGCGCTTGAGCGTCCTGAATTGCTCAATTTGGCTGATCTTCTTGCCTGGACGCGCTCGAGCGTCAATTTCTGCGCTTGAGCGTGCTCTTTTCACCCTTGACTTGTACTATTTTGGCTTCCTTTGGTACATATTGAGCTGCAACTCTTTGTCATGATTTCTTCATCACTTCTTAGCATCAATAAGTGTGGTTTTACCTTCAAAATGCAAAGAAAATCAAAATGTTAGCTCAAATTCCTATATTATGATTTATATGTTGTAAAACCTTGAATTCCATGCAATCTATGATATATTTCTCATATAATTTAGCCTAAAAACATGGTAATCCAAAGGTTTATCACTTCATTTTGATGCAAATATCAACGATCAAACTTTATTTTATCAGATTGGTTAAATGTCCCTTTATTTGATCACTTCCTCTAAAGTTTCAAATAGTAACAATGAAACATAAATCCCTTTATTCTTCCATTTATTTCAGGGTTTGCTATCGTTTTTATAGATAGTATACTTTAATACTTCAATATACATAAACATCATTGCAAACTAATGATTTCAATCTCGCATGTTGACCATACCGAACAAGTCTCGTATGTCAACATTGTGGGACTTAATGCCAACGTAAAAGTCCTGCATGTTGACCAAATAATTGTATTTCCTACATTTGCCATAAAGTCTCGTTTGATTCTCATGCGGAACTGTCATATTGGCATTAAGTTCCGTATGAACAACCTGCAAGACTTAAAAAGAGTCATGCATGGTCATGAATGAGACTGCCACACTGACATTAAGTCTTGCATCGTTAACTTGCGAGAGTTGTCCTTTATGATCAACATGAGTGATTGATCACATTAGGTTGAAATATCTTTTAAAAAATAAATTAAATAAGTACTTTTTAAAATTTCTAGTTTGGTAAAAAAGCCCAATCAAATAACAGTTCGAAAAATAAAAATACAAATAAAAATGGTTGAATCCAAAATAAATCCGTCGATATTATTGCTTATTTATATTTTCTTATTATTATTAAGATAGGTTATTCTACATACCTTGCCTACCAATCTCCAACACCATTGGATCAGATCTCAACTAACATTTATCATTTCTTTCTCCTCTTGAGATTTTGATCCAACAGTTTTAGAGATTAGTAGTCAAGGTAAGCATGAAAAAGAGGTAGATAGAATAACCTATCCCTTATTATTATTAAAGGGATATATTTTTTTTATGTTGTAGGAAAAAAATACCTCATGTTGTAGAAATAAAAGTATAAGTGAAACTCATAGATAAGAGGAGAGAAATAAAAGAGTGGTGGGACCCAATCCCTTTTTGTGTATGTAGGAGAGTTGTTTATCTCATGTAAAATGAGATAAACATAACCCATTATTAAAACGTAATATAATGTCAGTTCTTTATTTTTTTGAGGAAAAAACTACTTTCATGTTATTAGAGAGTAATTCTTTTTCCTACATATATCAATTTCCGTGTAACTCACTTTTTATTTTTTTATTTTTTATAAGTGAATGAACTCCATCCATAATTGTGTCAATAATATGAAAAAACTACTCTTATAAGAGATGAGAATAATAAAGTCTGCAAAACAAGGCGTTAGCTATTTGTATAGATCCAAGATCAACAACATCTAAAAGGAGGGCAGCAGCAATAACATGACCCTTTGGAATTCAGGTCGAAAACAAGCCATCTCAAGTACAAACTTTAAAAAAGGAGAAAATTTTCTAAATTACTCGAAAAAATGTACATGATTTGCGATATCAAGGATTTTGGAAATATAATAGAAAATATAAAATTATTCATTTACCGAACTTAAGCTATAGGATTGAATTAATTGTTTAATAGGATATCATAGCTCCTGTAAACTTTCTTAGCATAAGTATGTGGGATTCACCCTTAAATTCCATTATACTCTTATCCAAGGGGCTTGTTAAAAAATATATTAAATATAAAATCATTCATATACCTTCACCTATTAACTTAAACTTTTAACATAGTTGATTGTTTGACAATGGAAACTAGGAAAATAATAAAATCAAATCCTCACTGTTACCGGCAAATCCACAATCCCTAAATAGGAGATATTAACAGTAAATTACAGATATTTTTCAACAAGAAATTTTCAAAAAAGTCTTGTTCACTAAATAGAGAGCACTACATGCATCAATTGATGCCATTAAAAAAGAGATTACTAGGAATACTATATATTTATTGCATTTGGTAGAAACTACGAATACTTTTATTAGATTTTTGTTTTCTATAGAGTCCTAACTGCATTACAACCAACTGAAAAAGCAAAGGTATACATACTTAGATGAAATCGAATGCAAAGAATCTCTTGCTGAATGAAGAATATATTGTAGCATACGTTATGAAGCTAAAAGGCCTTGTCATAAATAACTTAAGTCTCAATGTTCTCCGGTCACTTGATTAGAAGCACATACATATTTAAGCTGCTCCTGTACATCTGTCACAAAAACACCCTCCGTATAGTTCTTGCAGCAGCACGAGATATTAACTGTCTAACCAGGTTAGTTGGCAATTGAAGTAATTGCTGTCTGGATTCTGGTGGGAGCTGACATTTACATAGATAGTCATGTTTCAGCAGTAATAAAGAATATCAAGATGCCAAACTGCTCATGACTTGTCCCTGCTAATGGAAAAATGGATAATGGCTAAATATCATTCTTAAAATGCAAACATTTGGATTTACCTCAGGAATGATTGACAAAACTGGAAGAATCTCTTGAATGGATTCAATTTGAACCGAAACTAATGAAAGTTCCTCCATGTACAGTATTTGATTCTGGTGAGGAGTAACCTGTCTGCTTCCCTACATGACATTGACAAAAAGTACTAATAATATTCATGAACATAATAAACACACATTTAAATGATTATCCTTTTATCATTTCAATTTTCATATATTTATTGCTGAAAGATTGATTTATATAGTCAGGGTATAAACTTTCCTCCTCATACTGCAATATATAAACCAAAAAGCAAACAAGTAATAGACATCAATTCTGAGAATAGGTTCTGACTTATGGTGGTGAAACAGGGCATAATGTTCGTTATTGGGAGAAGAGTGGTAAAGTAAAACTACTTTCCTTTCTCCAACCTTCACAGTCCGTATAAAAAGAAAAGAGAAAAGCATCCGGTAATCTATACATCATATCTACGGAAATCATTAGTAGTAACGACAGCCATGCTTACTAAAGAGAAAACAAGGAAAAACATTATATAGGATGATGTACTGTATGTAGTCTATAGTTACATCTCTATTTTGAAACCAGTATGTTTTTACTCTGTTCTACAAAAATGGAGGAGTTACATCGATATATTTATACCTTATTTCTTTGAATTGGTCAGCATCTAGCATTGTATGTTGTGTTATTTATATGAGGGAAAGGGGTTATGTTCAATTTGCAGTACAAGAGTACCAGTGTACGGTACAACACACTTTAGTCTTATAATTAAAATTTTAATTTGAAGTAGATTTGGCTTTTTACTTTTCTTGGGTAAATACATAGTATTTAGCTTTGGTAAAATGTAGTATGAAGCCCAGTGCGCATTCGCATCAGGAGGTGTGTTCCTCAAAAAGCAAAATGATACAAAATTGTACACTTGGTTATCAGTCATCCAAAAATGCAAAGATGTAGTTCTCTTTTACGTAAACTACAAATCTTACTGTGTTGGAGTCTTCTTTCCTTCTGGACCCTAATAGCAATAGCATAAGGCGTTGGAAGGTTCTCAAGTTGATAATATCTTCTTCAGCCATAAAAGAGGAAAAAAAGAAAGCACTGAAAGGAACTCTTGCAGCAGCTGTTTCCAAGGTTGCTAGCCCAAGTGCATCTAAACCCTGCATTTTGTTTTAAAAACAATTTAGAGCACTTGCAGGAGGGCATAAAAAAGAAAGAAATAAAGGATATGATTGAGTTACAAATATCAAACTAAATTATCTACATTGTTGGCCTACAATACACGAAAAGCCACAAATTTGAAGTTACCAGCACAACATACTGAAAGCCATGATCTCATGGCATTAAGTCATTGTGTACCAACACAATATTTTGGTCATGCAGCAACTCTCCAAAACCTTAACTAGGTGAAGATGTTTATATTACATTTTTAATATATCCTCTAATGCAAGAGTCCACTTGAAATCGAGAAATCGTGTCTATATTGTGACCACACAGAGATTATATCAATAAATACATGAGCTTGAGCTATATTTACATGATGTGAGACTAATAATGTAAATACAATCTAACAATCCCCCTCAAGGTGGTACGTATTATATCATAGGCATTAAGATCAAGCTTGTCAGAAATGTAGTTGATCGGGGACCTCTAAGAGCCTTGGTGAAGATGTCCACCAATTGATCATGAAAGTTGACAAAAGCTATTTCGGTCCCCTGCAAATTGAATTTTCTATCGGACAAAATAGCAATCAATCTCAATGTGTTTATTTCTTTTATGAAATACTAGATTTGAAGACATATGCAATGTTGCCTGATTGTCAAAATTAACTTCATTAGATGAAACTCACATATATTGAATTCCCTAATCAGCTACTTCAATAATATAAGCCCATAAGTAGCAGTTCTCATTACACGATACTTGGCTTTTGCACTTGATCTAGCCACCACTATCTGTTTTTTATTCTTCCACAAAATTAAGTTACCTCCAAAGAAGATATAATTACCTGAAATAGAGTGTCTATTCGAGGGAAAGCCTACCCAATCAGTATCAATGTAACCGTAAATCTCTACATGCCCCTAATTTTCATATAAAAGTCCTTTGCTAGACACTCCTTTGATGTATCGGAGAATCTTGACAACTGCATCCAAATGACAGTCATGTGGGGAATCAAGAGATTGACTCCATACACTTACTGGAAAGGAAGTATTTGGTTTTGTTATATTAAGATAGTTTAACTTCCCAAGTAGCTTCTGGTAATGACCAACTTTTGTGTCTGTCTCCCACTGTCTTGGAAGAAGTTTGACATTGGGAACAATCGATGTATCAATAAGTTTATATTCTAACAAGCCAGTTTTCTCCAAAATATCCAAGCCATACTTTCTTTGAGAGATGGAGATGTCATTTCTAGATTATACCACTTCAAAACCTAAGGAATAACGTAGCTTGCCAAGGCCCCATGTGCCATTAGAGTGCAATGCAAACATCTCATCAACCATTGCTTAGCGTCATCCTAGAAGTGACTGTGTTTCAACTGTGGATTTAGGGATGGATACAAAGAAAAGACTATATACAAAGGTAAAATATTGTGAAGAAATCTGATTATAACTCAGATAAACATAAAGTGGGTGAAGGTTGCGAGTGGATTGGTTATGTATGTGATGAGCAATAGGCAAATTTCTAATGTAAAAGGCAGCGCAAAGGAATGACATGTGAGGGTAGTGAGACATCGGGAGTATATGCTAAGACAGTAGAGGTGGATCTACATGGGGGATAGGGGTTGCCCCCGCCCCCTCTAAAATTTTAAAAACCAGCGCCACTAATGTTGTCATAAAATAAATAACTGTATCAGTGCACTGCAACTCATAAGTGGTACAATATACTTTCAATTTTCTAGCTAAGTCAAAGTAACCAAAACCTGGAACCAAAAGCCAATTATCACAATGTTTACCATAACAACACAAATGACCATAAGCACAACAAATACAAGTGATATCATTTTTTATATTTGAATTATTATATTTTAATGCAATACTACAATGTGCAGCGGCAGCATATATGTACATAACTAATTGGTTTTATATTAAATATTAGATTTCCACCATCGAAGAGAAAAACAAGAAGGTAGAGGAAGTTGTAAGAGAGAGACGAGAGAGAAAGATCTGAGGAATAGTCATATTTGTATTAAATTTCATTAAAATGAATTGATACAGAGAGAAGTGTTACCAGCTCCATATATAAAGTTGATGTCCATCTCAGTGATGAGTAGGCAACTGAACAACCACATAATAGAATGGAAAACTAACTAATAGAATACAAAATGAGAAATAATCATCTATGGTTGATACAACTTAAAAGTATTCTACTACAGGACTGATACACTAATACTCCCCCTCAAGCTCAGCAGGGTTAAAGAGGCAGTGCAGTGTTCAACACTCTGAACTTGGTTCTGAAATCAATGAAGGAAGAAATAGGCAATGGTTTGGTAAAGGTATCAGCCAGCTGAGTAGTAGCAGGGATATGTAACACTTGAATATCTTTTGCTACAACCTTTTCACGAAGGAAATGCAAATCCAACTCAAGATGCTTGGTGCGAGCATGTAAGATGGGATTATGTGCAATGGCAACAACACTAAGATTATCACACAGGATTTGAGGAATGAAGAGGGACATCTGCAGCTCTTGAAAGAGAGACTTAATCAACAATATTTCTACACAAATTAATGCCATGCTTCTGTTCTCTGGTTTAGCAGTAGACCTAGCCATAAGGGACTGCTTTTAGGACCACTAAGAGATCAGTTTGGGACCAAGAAAGATGCAAGCTTCTGAGGTGGATGTGTGGTCATCAGGGTCACTGCCCCAGTCAGCATCACAAAAGGCTGTGAGAGGAAATGAACTAGTGGCAGATTTGACTGATTGGAAATGAAGACCAAAGTAGGAGGTGCCTTGAAGATAACTCAAGATGCGTTTGACAGCTTTCCAGTGCTCCACTAGAGGCTAGTTCATAAATTGACATAGTTTATTCACAGGGAACGAGATTTCTGGTCTAGTTATTGTCACATACTGTAGAGCTCCCACCACTGATCAATATAAATGAGGCTCTTCAACAGTATTGGAGCCAAATTTTGATAGCTTATAGCTGGATGCCATAGGAGTAGAGAATGACTTTGCCTCAAGCATGTTGACCCAAGAGAGAAGATCCTTGATATACTCGGCCTGATTGAGTACAAGAGTCCCAGAGGATTGTCTTTTAACTTCAATTCCAAAAAAGTAATCTAAGTCTCCAAGATCTTTTAAGGCAAAGAAAGAATTGAGCTGTGAAATAAACTTGTTAATGAAAGGAACACTATTTCCTGTAAGAATAATATCATCCACATATACTAGCATAAAAATTCTCATGTTGCCAGCCTTATAGATGAACAAAGAAGGGTCACACCTACTAGCTTGTAACCCAAGAGACAGAATAGATGTTTTTAGTTTGTCAAACCAAGCTCTCAGAGCTTGTTCTAGACCACAAAGAGACTTGCGAAGTTTACACACTAAGGACTTGTTCTCAGCTTCAAAACCAGTGGGCTGTTCCATATACACTTCCTCTTCTAGAGACTAGATCCCCATTTAAAAAGGCATTATTAATGTCAAGTTGCCTCAATGGCTAACCATAAGTGAGTGCAATAGACAAGACTGCCTGAACTGTCACTGGTTTGATGACTGGAGAGAAGGTTATATTATAATCGAAGCCTAGTCTTTGATAGAATCCCTTAGCCACCAACCTAACCTTGTATATTTATACTGCCGTCAGGATTTTCCTTTATTTTAAACACCCATTTACACCCAATAGCCTTCCTACCATGAGGTAAAGGGACAAAGGACTAAGTTTTATTATTCTGCAAGGCTGCAAACTCTAACTCCATAGCTTTTGAGGGCTGTTCAAAGCCTGCTTAACAGAAGTGGGCTCATGTGGGATAGTAGAACAAGATTTCTAGCTAAGGTTTTTGATCTTGTTGCAATAGAATGAGAAGGAGAGGGTGAACTTAATGGACCTGAGGGTGCATATTCAGAGTGAGATGACTCTGGACTAGGAGTAGGACTGCAAATGGGAGTGGAGGTATTGACAGATCAAGTCAGTAAATTGTTGGTCACCACTAACAAAGACGGAACTAGCCGGAGAACTGACAGGTATACAGAAATTAGTATGGAAAACAGGTGGAGTGTCAGTAGCATGTGGGACTGTGGTCATATTATTATGTGATGTTGTTGTAGGTGACATAGCAGTGTGAGGAATTGTAGGAGACAAAATGGACAGTGCCAATGAAGCAGAAGGATACACTTTTGGAGTGGAACTGATCTTGCTGGCAATCCATTCTTCATAAGGAAATCTATACTCATTGAACAACACATCTTTGGTTATATAGATTCTGTTTTCTGGGCTTAAGCAAAGGTAACCCTTGTGATTTGAGAAATAGCCCAGGAATACACATTCTCTTGATCTGAACTGGAGTTTGTGCTTGTTATATGGTCTAAGAAAGGAAAAGCATGCATAACAAAAAGTTCTAAGAAATTTGTAGTCAGGATGTTGTTTGTAGAGTTTAAAATGAGGAATTTCAGAGTTTATTACGGATGAAGGGAGTCTGTTTATTAGATAAGCAGCTGTGGTGAATGCTTAATCCCAAAACTGCATTGGGAGTTTAGAATGTGCTAGGAGAGCATGACCAGTCTCCACAACATGACGACGTTTTCTTTCCACAGCACCATTTTGATAGTGTGTGTGTGTGGACAAGTCACTCGATGGGCTATGCCATTTGAGTTAAGATATTGAGTGAAAATTCTAAACTCCCCACCCCAGTCTGTTTGGAGTGCTTTCAAAAGTAGTTGGAACTGATTATCACCTGGTATGAAATTGTTTGAAGATGTTAATGGCATCAGATTTTTGTTTTATAGGGTAAAGCCATGTGAAACGAGTGTGAGCATCAACAAATGAAATGTAGTAAGAGTTACCAAGTGTTGATTTAAGGGGTGAAGGATCCCATAGGTGACTGTAGACAAGAGTAAACGGTTCTCTATATTCAGTACCAGATGACATAGAAGGTTGTCTATGAGATTTTGCATGACAACAAGCAGAAAAGAAATCAGCCATTTTATTTCTAATATGTAGGCAAAAAAATTAATTTAATGCTTTTTATTAAAATAATTACGCATTTATTACAGTTTTGGGAATAATTACGGATCTATTGCACAATGTGACGCCCCTTTGAGGCGTCTCACCCTACGTGGAGACGCCCCAATGGGGCGTCACTCATCAGGTGTTGACACGTGTCATATTTTTTTTCCAAAAAAAAAATTAATTTAATCATAAAACTTCTGAAGGCCATAACTTTTGACTCGGGTATCCAAATCAGGTAATTCTTTTTTTGATTCCACATAACTTTTCGAGATCTACGCAATGACATCTCATTTGATATATTTTATTTCTCACAAACATAATTTAAATTTAAATCAGGTAATCCTTCTTCCTTAGAGATTTAGAATATTAATTTAATTATTTTCTTTATTAATACAGATTTTTCAAATTGATTTTTGAGTTTAAATTACAAATCAAATCTTTATTTTGTTTTCCTTATTAATAATAATTGTTACTTTTAATTTAAATCACAAACCAAATTTTTTTTATAATAAAATAAAAAATTTATTTTTTTAATTTAAATCACACAACAAATCAAATTTATTTTTTATATTAAATCACAAACGCAGAACTCAGAGGCTTCTGAGTTTAGAAATGTGACACGTGTCAACACCTGACACGTCACCAACACGTCTAAATTGGGTTTTAATCAAGAGGCAATCAGGCCTAATTTAGGTAATTTTATTTTTGAAAAACATTAATAAGCCATCATTAATTTCAGACCACGAATAATAACCCAGAAGCTTATAGCATTAATCATTAATTTCAAAAATAATATCCTTCTTCCTTAGAGATTTAGAATATTTATTTAATTATTTCCTTTATTTCTACAGATTTTTCAAATTGATTTTTTAGTTTAAATCACAAATCAAATCTTTATTTTGTTTTCCTTATTAATAATAATTTTTATTTTAAATTTTAATTTAAATCACAAAACAAATTTTTGTTATAATAAAAAAAAATTATAAAAAAAATTTAAATCACAAATCAAACTTTTATTTATTTTTTTATATTAAATCACAAACTCAGAACTCAGAGGCTTCTGGGTTTAACCGTTCTTATAATACCATTCTTGCAAATTAAAATTGTGTTTGTGAGAAATAAAATATGTCAAATGAGATTTCATTGCTTAGATCTCGAAAAGATATGTGGAATCAAAAAAAGAATTACCTAATTTGGATACCCGAGTCAAAAGTTATGGCCTTCAGAAGTTTTATGATTAAATTAATTTTTTTTTTGGAAAAAAAAATATGACACGTGTCAATACCTGATGAGTGACGCCCCATTGACGCACCAATGGGGCGTCCCAAAAGAGGCGTCACACTGTGCAATAGATCCGTAATTATTTCCAAAACTGTAATAAATACGTAATTATTTTATTAAAAAGTATTAAATTAATTTTTTTGCCCTAATAGGTATATTACAAGTTTTGACTACAACCTTAAGAGACTCTAGATGTGGGTGTCCTAAGCGACAGTGAATACAGGGATTTAGATGGAATACATTCACTATCAACATTATCAAGAATAGTGCTAAGACATTGAGTATTAGTATTGACACTAGAATTAACAAGATTGGCTGAATTGCTTGTAATAGCAGACAAGGATGAACTCGAACAATTGTCACTTGCAACTGAGTCAAGAATTTTGGCAAGCTTCAAGTCTGAGAAGTGATATAAACCATTAGTACCAATTGCTCCTTTAAGGACAACCTTATAGGAATCCTGACATTTAACAAAACAAACATTAGAATGGAATTCAAAGTATACAAAATTGTCCTTAGCAAACTTACAGACACGGATAAGATTTTTGGTGATTGCAGGGACTAGGAACAATGTTATTAAAACCAGCTCGGTCATTGACCCGATCGAGGTATCAGGTCACTGATTCAACCAATGGGTCACTGGTTAAACCGCAAGACTCAGTACTTATATGTAAAATTTATAATTTATATTAAAAAAATTATAAACATACTCAAATAGATGAAGAAAATAATATAATTTCTAAATATTTTAATATAAAAAATAATAAATTAAACATTATTGTCCAATAAAGGATCAAACAAACATTTAATGCTTATTGGTGTTTCAGGTTTAGTAAATGACATATCTAACTACAAATCAAATTAAAATTCTCTGCATAGTGCATAACTGAGATAATATTAGTATTGTAGGTACATAACTTATGTAAGTCAATAAGTAACAGATCACTCAAATATGTTAATTATGTTTTTTTTTTTGAATTTTTTTTTCTTTTTAGAATTTTTTTTTAAACCCGGGTCGGGTCACTAGTTTTCACTAAAACCGGTCGAGTCACACCGGGTCTGGTACTTGGCCGACCCAATGTGATAACCGGTTCACTGGGTTCTGGGACGACCCGGCATGTCCGGTCCGATTTTTACAACATTGACTAGGAGTAAGTTTTTAAGATGCAAACAAGAGTTAGAGTGAAAGGGAGATATAAAGGATGAAGAGACAATAGCTGTTATAGGCAAACCTTGGCCATTTCCAACGAAAATGTGGTCTGTACCATTGAGACGTTGAGATTGCATCATGTTCTGTGGTGTTCCAGTGACATGGTTTGATGCTCTAGAATCAGGAAGCCATTCAACGAGTGCAGTTGGCTTTGAGGTCTGTTATACTGATAGGATCTTACTGGTTGTTGAACAAAAAAATTGTGGATATGATGTGTTCTGTGGTGGAGGAAGTTAGGGATGAAGTTGTCTTCAAACCTATGCCAGGCTAAACTTGTAGCAGAGCTGACAGTGAATGTTAGTCCTATTTCCACGTCCTCTTCCTCTGTTAGACTTCATTCCAGATCTTGTTCTTCCTCTGTTTTGATCATTCGAAGAGTTGAAACGCTTGAAATCACGCTCCTCTGTTCTGCTCTGTTTTCTGGTTTCAGAAACAGAGTCATCTTCATCAGATTCGATCTTTTGTGGTTTCTGTAATCGTTGGGTCAGGTTTATTGAAGCTCCTTCAGTCAATACTTGCTCGTTTTGTTTGATTAGAAGTTGTTCGAAAGCCATGAGTTCTATTCCCAGATTTGCAACTGAGTAGGCTCTGTCTCGACTACGAATCATCATTACGAACAAGTTATAGTCAGAAGGTAATCCTTCGAGTATCGTTTCTGTATGTTGCTCAACAGAAACCGAATTTCAAATGGATTTGAGTGACTCGGAGATTGTTTTGATCCTCGCGAGGTACTCCTTCGCCGTTTTAGCTCCTTTCTTCGTCGTTTTTAACTCAGATCTGAGTTGTCTGGCTCATGACTTTATTACACCATGAAATAACTTGTGAATGTTCTCCCATGCTTCAAATGAATGCTTGATACGAAGAATGTCGTTCACTACTGTTTTTGAAATGGAAGACAACAACCCAAGTCAGAAGCATATGATCTTGCATTAACCATTCAGTGTAAGCTGAACTGAGTGCGTTGCTCTCTTTATCTTCATCAGAATCGAACTTCAAAGGAATTTTAGGGTTCACCAAGAAACGTTGCAATTGATGAGAAATTATGATTGGTTCAACAATCTGGTTCCAAAAGAGGTAGTTATCCTCTGTTTACTTCGCAGAAACTAGAAAATTGAATAGTGTAGAAGGATTTTTTAGATTCCATAGGAATGGATCTATAAGTGGATTTGTTTGCTGAAGTAGCGCTTACTTCGGAATTTGATGCGGAAGACATGGTTGTGGGCTATGTATAGAACGTGCCCTTCGAAGGGGCTCTGATACCATATTAGATTTCCACTGTTGAAGAGAAAAGCAAGAAGGTAGAGGAAGTTATAGAGAGAGACGAGAGAGAAAGATTTGAGAAAGAGTCATATTTGTATTGAATCTCAGTAAAACGAATTGATATAGAGAGAAGTGTTACCAGCTCTATATATAGAGCTGATGTCCAACTCAGTGATGAGCTGGCAACTGAACAACCACACAACAAAATGGAAAACTAACTAACAGAATACAAAAATGAGAAATAATCATCTATGGTTGATACAACTTAAAGTATTCTACTACAGGACTGATACACTAATATTAAAGAACAACATATTTGAGGTTCCACTCTACTATAACATTTTCTTACTGTAACCCAATTTTATTCAAATCAATATTTTGTTCTTTGTTTTTAAAATAAAATCCAGTCTATAGTAACAAAATAATTGTGGACTTAGATTAACAATTTTTTCCCTATCAATTAAACTCCAGCGACAGCCCTCATAGATTACCCTCCCTATTTTTAAGTAAAAGTCAGAGAGGCAAAAAAATTAATATTCGTTGTTTACAAAGAATATCCTTTGTTTTACTAACACAAGTGATACAATATAAATAACCAAATTTTTTCAAGTAATATTCTTTGTTTTACTAACATACCAAATTACAGTTCCTCTCAAAAAATACCAATTAGTTAAAAGACTTGATTCATTCATATAAAAAGATACAAGCAGTAATAAGAAAATATCAATATCTGAACATAGTATATATCGAGATAATAAGAAAAATGAGAATAAAATATGACTAAATTTTTTTTATGCCGATACTTCTTGAGTAAAAGATCAAAACGTAAGTAGTAATTAACATTGTCCTAGTCAGCATAAATCACATATCTACAAAAATAAGCTTAGTGGAAACTCCAACGCTCAAGTTAGCAAAAGATGCAAAAGTTGATCAGAAGCATAAATCACAAATACACATTTACAATTAGGACGGTTCAATCAATCCAATAGGTTTAGGTAGCAGATCTACTCTCACTTTCGGATTACGAAACTCTTTCACTGAGGAGTTTCTTTTTCGACCATTGGCCACCAATTTTTGACAATTTGCAACGAGTTTATCAAATCAAGTGGTGCATTATACTAGAGAAAAAATAAGGAGGGAAGAACCGAATATTGATCTTCAATTGTGATTTTCAAATGGTTATTATAATAGTATTTTTTATATTAGGCCTGTATTATATTTCAAGTACTTTTACTTATAATATAGTGTTTTTTATTTTCGCCCCCCATCACCCAAATTCCTGGGTTAGTCCTGTAAGACAGGGTTGGCACCAATAAAAGGTCGAGAGTGTCGCTGTTAAGTGATCGGAGGATGAGATGGTGGTATTGTAGCCGCAAAACCTGAGGCACCTGAGGAAGGAAGATAAAAGAAAGGAATAGGGAGGATAATGTTGACCTCAAAGACATGTGTGGCTGGAGCAGAGAAATGTTGCACAAAAAAAAGTGATATAAGAAGATACGACATAACGTCAGACGTTCGAAGAGTAGCAACGATATCCCTTCTGAAGACAGGTACAATAGCAAAAAGAAAGATGAAGGATTTAGCCCTGAGTTTGTCTTTAGCTAGAGTAAGATTGTGAACAAAACACGTACATCCAAAGACATAGGGTGGCACTAAATACGCAGGAGCATTAAGGAACAAAATATGATGAGGAACTTCATTGTCTAACGCAGAGGAAGACATGTAGTTTATAAGATAACATGATGTAAACACAAAAATCTCCCAAAAAATGATGAGTAACATTCATATGCAGGAGTAGAAGTTTAGACTATTTCAACTAGGTGTTGGTTTTTGCATTCAGCTACGCCAATTTGTTACGGAGTATGAGGACAAAAGTACGATATAAGGTACCCTGCTAAGTCAAGAATTCCTGTAGGTCAAAGGGCATATATTCTCATGCATTGTCACCACACAAAAGGCGAATAAAGGTTCCAAATTTGGTACAAACCTCAACACAAAATTTCTGATCAACAAAGAACAATTCAAATTGATTCTTCATAAAAACATCCAAGTGCAGCTAGACTAATCATAAAAAAAGATCATATAATACATGAATTCCAAATTGGACCTGACCCCAAAAATTTGAGTAACAAGATAGAATGGAGCCTCTGCCCGATTGATGTCACGACTAGTAAAGGAAGAACATATGTGTTTCCCTTGTTGACAAAATTCACAGTCCAAGATTCACCATGGTTACTTCCACGTAAGACAAGATTGAGGTCTCCCATTGGGGCTTTTAAGATGAAAAAAAGGATGCATGGAAGTTCCAGAAAACCTGAAATAAAAATTAAAAAGCATCCAAGACTTGCAAAACACAAAGAAAAAGGTTGAAAAACACCATGGGGGAGCAAGAAACAGCCATGAAAAAGCGCCAAATGATGGTGGTTCGTCCAAATATACAACAAACGAAGACCAATACCAAGAAAACACAGAAAAAGTCACCCGAAACATCAAAACACTAAGATCGAGGTGAAGTCGCTAGAAAATGCTGAACAGAGAGCACCCACGCCTAAAAAGGTTTGGATACGGACTGATAGAGCCCTCCAGAAAGTCGCCAAAAAATTCACTGGCGGACAGCGGCAGCAAAAAGATTCACGACTGATGAGAGGCTCCCAGAAGGACACGTGACATAGAAGGAAGGTTGCTGATATGAAGCACAACAAAAGGTGATGGCAATCACTGTGTAGTGGGAACAACAAAATTAGGGTTTTGCAGAAGCAAGGTTTCCTAGAATGTAAGCTTTGGTACCAATTTGAAATTGAAAAATTGTGTGTATATTGAGACCACACATGGATTGTATTTATATCAATAACTAAATGGGCTTGAGCCCTATTTACGTTATGAGACTAATAACATAAAACCTATGTATATATTCTAAAAAGTCCTTTGGGCTTGAAACATATACAATGCATATGTCCTGCACAGGTAAATTATTATTATGTAATTATTATATTCAATGTATATAATGAAGTCTTTGTTGCGTAATTCAGGCTCACGGATTTCAACAAATGTCTCTATTTTCCTTCTTATTCAACTTGGTATCGAGAGTTGTGCCTACTTTTCAAGAAACCATGTAGTCTAATTAGTTTTTGGTGTCTGTTGTCGTGTTGTCCCTTCGGCAATTATCTCAGTCGTCAACCACTACATATCTAGCAATCATTGCTGCAAAAGTTTTTTGATAGATTTCCTATCAGTGACCCATTTGTCAGCCTTCTATCCAAAGGCCTTGCCACATGTCTACCTTTTGCTGTATTGCATCTGTACTGCCACATGTTTGGCTACATGGGTGACACTTAAAGCTCCCTCTCCAGTTGTGCTTTGTCAATCCAAGGTTGGCATCCACATTTATTCCCGAATCTTCCCAAATTATTGCTTATCATCCCCTTTGTAGCAAGTGTTCTTACTCCATTGCATCACTGTTCATAGTGCTTGAAGCCTCCTTCTCCGCTATTAAGTTTTCCATAGCTGAATTTGGTTCCTCTATCACTCCTTGGGATGTTTCAAAGTTTGAGGAACTTATTTTCAGTAACCATGTCAAAGGCTCAAAGCCCCTGTTGTACGGAAAGTTGGATGTTACTAACTATGACATTTGGCCTTCTAACATTAACCTTTGGCTTATTGGGCAAGACTATGCCAACCACCTCACCATTAGGGCTGACTTTGTGCCTACTGCTGAGCGTCCAAGATGGATTAAGGTAGATGTCGAACTGTGCAGCACCATCAAATCCAATATTCATGCATCTTTGAAGTAGATGTTTTGGGCCTGTCACACTAGCTAGTCCATTTGGCAGCAGGCCAAGGACCTATAAACTATTGACACTCAACGTTTATATGGTGTTAACCAAAGCCTGATGGGTGTTATCGTGCCTTGGTGGTTCGATGGCCCTAGGTTTGCATATTTGAGGAAGTTTTATGGGGTTCTCTGTAACTTCAATGAATTGTTGTCCCTGAAAGTAACTTGGCAACAAAGTATGTTTATCATGATATTATTAATCATTGGTTTGCCTCCAAAGTATTCCGCCAACCGTTGCTTAGACCTCTTTGCTCCATATCCTGCTGTCCAAGCATCCCACAAAGCCTGACATGCCTCATTCTCTTGTTGATTCATCTACACTTGTCTCCAAAGGTTCTAGTCGTGGTTGTAACAAGTTGGGCATGATTAACATCTATGCTTCAGCTTAAAAGGGAGTGTTAAGGTTATTTATTATATTTATGCATGCCACGCGAGTCCATTGGCTAGAGACCTATGGCCCATCTATCTATCTTGTAAACCTGGCGCACTGAATATAACTATTACCTATCTATTTGGGTGGCTGACTTTGGGATTAAATAATTCTTCAATAGGGAGAAATGAGAATATAATAAGGAAGGATAAGTAGTGCAGGGTAGGCATGAATATAGAGGAAAATTAATTCTGCTGAATGCTAGATTTATCTTCTAATTTCTGCATTTTTCTGTTCTTGTAAGGAACTAGTCTCTGTTGTTTTCAACAATAAAAATCAATTCTGATAATATATATTGTAAAAACACGTTATCCAATAAATTTCTATAATGAACATCCAAATTCTCATTTTTCAGATTCCTCTGCTATTCTAATTTTAATAAAAAATTAAGAAGAAAACATACTTTAGCTAATTCTTGAACAATTATTTCCCTCACAAATTCACCCTGCAAAGATAATCAAGAAACCCATATTAGTGAAGAAAAGTTAATGGTAGTCGCAAAATAGAATGTGAATTGCTATGGAAAACAATATGTACCTTTTCCGTTAGTGTAAAAGAAAGTATTTCCTTCATAATCATTCTCGAATCAGTGCCTTCAGGTTGTTGTTTTACTATGTCTTTTTTAGTTTTGGCACGGAGAGACTGTCATGAAGCCATTTTAGGACAGGATTTTGAACAAGTTCCGCAAGAAACAGGATTTAATAGGAAGGAAATCAAAAATATTATCTTATGCCATAATGTACAAGGTAGCTTAAAGCATTTCAACGACGCTTTGGATTTAATATCTCCCTAGAATTGCTCATGTTTTAACTGAGACTAAAGATTCTAAAATTCAATCAAAATGGCCCGAAGTACAGGTTTTAATGCCAGAACCAACAACAAATATAACCTGCTCAATTGGAAAAAAAACAAAGCGAATGGAAAGTTTCCATATCTAAGCTTTCAAATTCCTAAAGTACCTATTTAGCAACCTGTGGATTGCCTTACAGATTTCATGAAAATCCTAATGACATCAATTAAGTATTCTCTTTAGATAGACCAGCCAATGGATGAAAATCCAGCCCAAGGATGAGAACTCGTAAAACAATATATATTCCTGATTTAGACCTCTTCAACTAAATCCAATTTCAATAAATCAATTACCCAAACAAATAAGGAGTATCATATCCATCTTCGCGAAAAAATAAGGAAAATACCCATGAATAAGGACTTTCACTTATTCATCATTTGGAAACTGTTACATAAAAAACTAATCTTTTGTCTAGCCCATACAGATTAAGATTTTGGGACCGTTATTCATGATATCATATACTTATAAAACATATACTTCATAAAACAATGTGGTCTAGAGTTCAATCCCTATTGCCCTATATAGAAAATAAGAAATCATAGGAAATTCTAAGGTAAGAAATGAAGAGAGATGGAAATAATATGTTTCTCTGTTTTTCTTATGGAGGTGCAGTACAATATATATAGATCAACGATGATCAATTCTGAATCAATTAAAATAAAACAGATCTAATCTAATCCCCAAAGTTTGGGAACAAAACAGATAAATAAGGAAATAAATTAAAATACAAATAAAAACAAAGCACGACAGAATCCTTATCTCCTAAAAGAAAAACTGAAATTGATCCTTAATTCTAGGAAACTAGGTTGGCAACAGGTTGGTGACAATAGTAAAATCAATAGGATTAAAATTAGGGTCGGCTGTATGGCACAAGGGTTTTCAATACTCCCCCTCAAGCTGAACTGTAAATATTGATAAGTCCAAGCTTGCTCTTCAACTCTTCAAATCTGACCCGAATCACTGCCTTGGTTAGAACGTCAGCTATTTGAGCCCCTGTGGAAACATACTTCAGTTCAATAATATTGGCATCAATTTTCTCCTTAATGAAATTTCTATCAATCTCAACATGTTTGGTTCGGTCATGGTGGATGGGATTTTTAACTATTCCAATGGTTGCCATGTTGTGACAATGAACCTTCATTGATGGTGTATTGTTCATCCTTATTTCTCCAAGTAGTCTTTGTATCCACATTCCCTCACATATTCCAAGTGCTAAGGCTCTAAATTCTGCCTCTGCACTGCTCCTTGCTACCACTGGTTGTTTTTTACTCCTCCAAGTGACAAGATTCCCCCATACATAAGTGCAGTAGCCTGTAGTTGACCTTCTATCAGCTACCGAACCTGCCCAATAAGCATCTGTATAGACTTCTACATCCCTTTGCAATCCTTTCTTGAAGAATAATCCATTGCCAGGAGTCATTTTCAAGTATCTTAAGATCCTGAATACTGCTTCTAAATGTTCTTCATTTGGCTTATTCATAAATTGACTTACAACACTCACTGGGAAGCTGATGTCAGGCCGAGTGTGTGCAAGGTAAATTAATTTTCCTACAAGCCTTTGATATCGTCCAGTATCAATAGGGGCACACTCCTCCTTCAAGCCGACTTTATAGTTTGCTTCCATAGGAGTTGCGACTGGTTTACAGCCCAACATTCCTGTTTCTTCTAGAAGATCAAGAGTGTATTTTCTTTGATACTGATATTCCTTCCTTAGTTCGAGATACCTCCATACCTAGAAAATATCCCAACTGCCCTAGGTCTTTCACCTCAAATTCATCTGCCAAGGAAGCTATAAATTCGATCTCTTTCAATGATCTTCTTGTGGGTAGTAGAGTCTGCTGTAGTAGTCCACTCATGCTTATCATAAAGATCTAGTTGTTGCCAATATTTAACCAGAGTGTTGTAGTATTGTGTGATTGTTTTTCCTTCTTGTTTCAGATCCTTCAAGACTCCCTTGATCTGAAACATGGCAGCAGTGTTGTCATCCTTGGAATATGACTCACGAACACCGTCCCAGATTTCCTTTGCAGTAGAGCATAACATATATGTTTCCCCAATTTCAGGGGTCATTGAATTTACAAGCCAGGACATGACAAGGTTGTTTTCTGCCTTCCATGTTTTGTACTTGGGATCAGTCTCATTAGGTTTTTCGACATCGCCAGTCAAATAATCCTCCTTTTGTTTCCCACAAATAAACATTTTTACACTTTGGGACCATAGCAAATAATTGGAGCCATCAAATCGATACCCTGTTATTATGAGGGAGGGGCTCTCTAGAGGCGTGTTTGGTGCCATGGAGGTAGGATTAAGTTGAGTGGTGGTCGATGAATTGCTGGAAGACAAGGTCTGGTACACGCGCATTGTACCAAACTGCAAGATGAGAGCTCTGATACCATATAGAAAATAAGAAATCATAGGAAATTCTAAGGTAAGAAATGAAGAGAGAGATGGAAATAATATGTTTCTCTGTTTTTCTTATGGAGGTGCAGTACAATATATATAGATTAGCGATGATCAATTCTGAATCAATTAAAATAAAACAGATCTAATCTAATCCCTAAAGTTTGGGAACAAAGCAGATAAATAAGGAAATAAATTAAAATACAAATAAAAACAAAGCATGACAGAGTCCTTATCTCCTAAAAGAAAAACTGATATTGATCCTTAATTCTAGGAAACCAGGTTGGCGACAATAGTAAAATCAATAGGATTAAAATTAGGGTCGGCTGTATGGCACGAGGGTTTTCAACACCCTATTCTTCTAAATAAAAGTTAAATTTCATATTCCACCCAAAAAAGGTTAAATTTCATGAGATGGGCTTGTTTATTGTCCACACATCAAGCTTAAATGCCTCTTGCGTGAGGGAGCAAGCTAGATATAAAACTATTAATTTATTTTCACCTAACAACTAATAGTTGGTTCATGACTGTTAGAATATTAGATATGATATGATTAGATTTGATTAGATATGATTGGATTCTGTCTTTTCCGTAAATAGTCTGACTGTATTAGGTTTAGGTTTGGATTAGGTTTGGGCCTTACACTTAAGCCCATTAGGGTCTCTATATATTGTAACTCCTTGACACAGATCAATACACAACGTATTCTTTTACATTTAACTTGGTATCAGAGCTCTTTCGTTCTAGGAACCCTCGCTTCCGCTCAGAAACCTTGTTTTTTTGCTTTAAAAACCTAAGCCCACTGCTTAGGAGTCCTCTTTCTTGCCGTGCGTCCTTCCGGCAAGCCTTCTAGGGCTGTAAACAGCCTCTGAGTGATTTTTCCAAACGCGTCAGCACCTCCGACGGCCACCCGAACCACCGCCCGCCGTCAGAATCACTGTTCAGGCAACCGGAGACTTTTTCCGGCGACTTTTCCGACCAAACTTCACGCGATCAGGACCCTTTCTTCCCGGCGACCAGGTCTGTGGTGGTCCGGTCAGCAACGCATCTCCCACGCGCCGTCACGCGCCACCTGTCTTCACTGCGCATGGGCTTCACGCGCCACCTTCTGCCGGCGCGTGAGCACTATTCCGGCGGCTTTTTCCGGCCGGTCTTGGACAGAGAAGCTAGCCTTCTCCTCCCCTTTTTGGATCTGTGATTGTTTCTCTGTGGGTCTGACCTTAGACGCGTGGTTCTTCTTGATTGGATATTGTTTGCCTTCGTTTACGGCTTTTATATTTTATCTTTAAATGGCAGCAGCATCTCCTGATCTCTCGGAGGTTAACTCTCCTTCTATTGTTGCAAATATAACTCAGTCAGACAAAGCATCATTTGGTTCAGGTTCGGACTGTGCTGCACTCCAAACCCCTCTCAGGAAGGCTTCTCCTCAGTCTCAGCCTTATACTGGTAATCCCGTTGCTTGTGTTTCTCATTCTACATCACTTGGCACTTGGATATTTGACTCCGGTGCTACCGATCATCTCTGTGGTAATAAGGAACTCTTTACATCTCTTACTTATTCTGATCATTTACTGTCTTTTACCCTTGCGGATGGAACCAAAGCCCCAGTTTGTGGGATTGGACAAGCTCGTCCGACCTCTACCTTGGCCCTGACATCTGTCTATTATATTCCTGGCATCCCTTATAACTTAATTTCTATTAGTAAGTTGATCCACTCCCTCACTTGCACCATTACTTTCTCTAACCATTCTGTTTCTGTGCAGGATCCGGGTACGGGGAAAATGATTGGAGTGGGTCGTGAGTCACGGGGGCTTTATTATCTGGATGTGCCTCGTCCTTCAGTAGCATGCTCTCTCACAGAATCTCCACAACTTATCCACAGTCGCCTTGGTCATCCAAGTCTTTCAAAGTTGCAGAAAATGGTTCCTCTTTTGTCCGGTCTTCAGTCTTTAGATTGTGTGTCATGTCAACAAAGGAAGCATACACGCTCCTCTTTTGCCAGTCGAGTCAATAAACGAGCTGATGCCCCTTTCTCTCTTGTTCATTCAGATATCTGGGGTCCAAGTCGTACCTTGTCTGTCTTAGGTTTTCGGTATTTCGTTACCTTTATTGATGATTTTTCCCGTTGCACTTGGACCTATTTAATGAAAAATCGTTCTGAGTTATTTTTCATTTATAAAAAGTTTTCTACTGAGATCCATACTCAATTTGGTGTTTCTATTCGTATTCTACGTAGTGATAATGCTAAGGAATATGTTTCTATTGATTTTTCTAATTTCTTGGCCACACAAGGTACTTTACATCAAACTACTTGTCCTCACACTCCACAACAAAATGGGGTGGCTGAACGTAAAAACAGACATCTCATTGAAACTACCCGTACCCTTCTTATTCATATGCAGGTTCCTCTTCACTTCTGGGCAGATGCTGTACTCATCTCTTGTTTTCTCATCAATCGCATGCCTTCATCTGTGCTCCACAATGACATTCCTCATAATCTATTGCTTCCAGATGTTCCTCTTTATCCTCTAACTCCACATGTCTTTGGTTGTACTTGTTTTGTTCATGATCTCACTCCTGGTAAGGATAAGTTAACATCCAAAGCCTTTCAGTGTATCTTTCTTGGTTATTCTCGTCTTCAAAACGGTTATCGTTGTTATTCTCCCGACCTTAAGCGTTACTTAGTTTCCGCTGATGTCACTTTTCTTGATCAACAACCCTTTAATTCTATCCCATCTCAGATGTCACAGGTTGATCATGTCCTTCCTGTCCCTTTTCTTGACTTGTCTTTGCCAGCTGCAGGTGCTTCTATTCCAGATGAGCAACCTATTGCTTCTATACCTGAGGACCGTCCACTTCTCACCTATCAGCGTCGCAAAACTGTGCCTCCTGTCGACTTGACTCTTGCTGACTCATCGCCCACTGCTGTTGCTTCTTCCCCTCCGGATCCTTCATCAGAGACTCTTCCCATTGCTCAAAGAAAAGGTACACGTACTACTCGTAACCCTTATCCTCTTTATACCTTTTTGAGTTATGGCCGTCTTTCTTCACCTCATTTCACCTTTGTTTCTAGTCTTTCTTCTATTTCTATTCCTAAGACCACAGGTGAAGCATTTTCCCATCCAGGGTGGCGCCAAGCAATGCTTGATGAGATGACTGCACTTCATTCCAATGGCACTTAGGACCTTGTTTCTGCTCCTCCAGAGAAGTCTATAGTTGGTTGTCGCTGGGTTTTTACTGTGAAAATTGGACCTGATGGCCATATTGATCGTCTCAAGGCACGTTTAGTTGCCAAGGGTTTTACTCAAATCTTTGGCTTTGATTATAGCGATACATTTTCTCCAGTCGCTAAGATGGCGTCAGTCCGCCTCTTTCTTGCCCTTGCTGCTGTTCGTCACTGGCCACTCCTTCAACTTGACATCAAAAATGCTTTTCTTCATGGTGATTTACAAGAAGAAGTTTACATGGAGCAACCACCTGGTTTTGTTGCTCAGGGGGAGTCTGGAAAGATGTGTCGTCTTCGGAAATCCTTATATGGTCTCAAGCAGTCTCCTCGAGCATGGTTCAGTCGCTTCAGTTCTGCTGTTCAGGCGTTTGGCTTAATCCGCAGTAAAGTTGACCATTCTGTGTTTTATAGAATTACATCTCCTGATAAGTGTATCTATTTGTTAGTCTATGTTGACGACATCATTCTCACCGGAAGTGATCAAGACGGAATTCATCAGTTAAAACAGCATTTGTTTAGTACATTTCAAACAAAGGACCTTGGGAAGCTGCGTTACTTCTTGGGAATTGAGGTGGCGCAATCAAGACAGGGCATTTCTATCTGTCAAAGGAAATATGCCTTGGATATCCTAGAAGAAACTGGTATGTTGGGGAGTAAACCAGTTGATACACCTATGGATCCTAATGTCAAGTTATTACCCGGACAGGGGGAGCCGTTATCTGATCCTGGACGTTATCGGAGGCTCATTGGGAAGCTCAATTATCTTACTGTGACTAGGCCAGATATTTCTTTCGCTGTCAGTACGGCCAGTCAGTTCCTTGATTCCCCTTGTGATTCACATTGGGATGCTGCTGTGAGGATCCTCCGATACATCAAAGGAGCACCAGGAAAAGGTTTGTTGTATTCGGATCAGGGAAATACAGAAATTTGTGGTTACTCAGATGCCGATTGGGCAGGATCACCCTCGGACAGACGCTCTACTTCTGGTTATTGTGTCTTCTTCGGAGGAAACTTAATCTCATGGAAAAGCAAGAAACAACCTGTTGTTTCCCGATCTAGTGCAGAAGCTGAGTATCGTGCAATGGCAAATACTACATGTGAGTTGATCTGGTTAAAGCAGTTGATTCAAGAGCTTCATCTTTGTGAACAGAAACAACCCATGACACTCATCTGTGATAATCAAGCTGCGCTACATATATCCTCTAATCCTGTTTTTCATGAGAGGACCAAACATATAGAGATTGATTGTCACTTCATTCGGGAAAAGATTCAGTCAGGAGAAATCAAGACAGCTTTTGTCAACTCGTCTAATCAACTAGCAGATGTTTTCACTAAAGCTCTTAGAGGTCCTCGGGTTGAATACATTTGTAACAAGCTTGGTGCTCATAATATATACGCACCAGCTTGAGGGGGAGTGTTAGAATATTAGATATGATATGATTAGATTTGATTAGATATTATTGGATTCTGTCTTATCCGTAAATAGTCTGACTGTATTAGGTTTAGGTTTGGATTAGGTTTGGGCCTTACACTTAAGCCCATTAGGGTCTCTATATATTGTAACTCCTTGACACAGATCAATACACAACGTATTCTTTTACATTTAACTATGACAAAAGTTACAACCATAAAAGAAGTAAAATAATGTTTCAATTTCACACAGAAAAAATAAAAGAAAATTGCAGAAGTTTACCTCTGTCAGCAAAGACTCCAGACGGTCTATTCTGAGAACACCATCCTGACAAATGAGTATTGAGTCAAAATTAAGTGAAAAATATTCGAATATAATGGCAATGCGGCAAAGTCGAAAAAGAGAATCAAAATTCCACGTATTGCTCCGGATGTCAGGTACTATACAGAAAGCAGGGCCTTCTATGTTTACCTTATAAAGAAGAGTCTCCAAAGAAGACTTAAGCTGAGGAGAGTTGTCAGTAAGAACTTTTCGAGCAATCCAAGGGTAAGTACTACCCAAAACTTTGTACTCAGGGTTAAAGTTGATTGCAATTCCTTCAAGTACAGCAAGGCTGTAGACAAAAGATATTATTTAGGATTTTGCTCAAAGACATTAGATTTAAGCCTTGGATGGAAAGCTCTACCTTCGGATGACAAGAGAGAAGTATGAAGGTATCCTAAATTTGAATTTATACCTGAAAAAAGTAAGAGAACAAGAAAAAGATGACACGTAGCATGTCAAAGTGAAATATAAATGATGAAACAACCAACAATAGGAAGACAAAAGAAAATAAAGAATATGTTATGATAAAGAATATTTTCCTTTATGAATTTGGACATCTCTATTATAATTTAGTATATTACATCTAAACCCTATGTTGGAGTTGGGTTTAGAAATTTGTTAATGCTATAGTTTGCAATTTATAAAGGGGGCGAACCGGGACAGTTAAATTTCACTAAAATAGTTTCACTGTCTCAAAACACCAACCCACACCAGTCTTTAATTTCGGTTTAACCAACGAGCTTTAGCCCCTCACCCATTGTCCCTTAAGTGAGCGTTCGAACCAAAACACTGACCCTAGCCATTTTGATTCAAACAGAAAATGCCAAACACTAACCATAACTGATTGGGTGAGCTGGAGTTTGTTAGGATCGTTGGCTGAAGCAATTTTTGGAGTGTGGTTACCGCCTTTCCAAGGGAACCGCACGATTGGGAGGAGCGCATAGCACGTGCCAGCTGATGTGTGAATCGTCTCTGCATGTGGGAGCTTCAGATATAAAAGAGAAGAGCAAAGCGTTGTAGGAAACTTATTTTCTCTTCATCTTTTCTATTTTTCGGGGTGATCTGTTTGGATCTTTACATTTTTATATTTTTCTCTTTGTTAGTTTTATCTGAGCACTAAAGCAGAGCTATTTTCTGGATATAGCTTCTGCCTCATATTTTCCATTTTGTCAGTTGTAATTTCTTTTTAAGTTTCGTTTGCTGTTTTTGTAGCTCAACCCTTATGGGTATGAGCTAAACCTTTGAAGGTTAGGTCTAGGTTACTCGAACCTCAGTGATGGTTGATTGCTAATTACTATTGTTAATTTTTAATTCTCAGTTGTTTAATGCCATGCTTTGTATTTAAATATTCTTTCATTGAGGCCTGATGTTAGATGTTGTGTTAGGAAGAAGTCATCGAGAGGTGACTAATTCTGGAAAATGCATTAAGCACATGGACTTGAATGAGAAATAATTCAAGGGCTATCACTTAGATATGAGGACAGCCACCATGTAACTTTGAACTTGAAATGCATGAGTCCTCACTTCATTTAGCATAGAGATATGTAAATGAATGTTTGGGATAAAATGATTTTAAGAGATTAAAATCAACAAGAGTGATCCGTTAACTGAGAATTAAATTTCATCAATCTGTAATTGGCATTTCTTCCATTGCTGTGGGAAGGGTAAACCGAAAGTCCAACCTATTTTTCTCAACATTTTCACCAACTCAGTTTTCCTCTGATTTAGAATTTTAATCATCTTTCTGTTTTAAATTTTTTATAAAAAATTCTTTTTACATAAAAAAATAGATAAAACAATACTTAAATTGCTTTCTTATGATTTTTCATCTTTTAGAACAATTGATTCAAGAAATTAATTCAGAAAAGTCTAAAAAAAATATAGTAACGCAGTCAGTGCTATTTCAGAGTAGTTTGTGTTATGTTATTTTTACTGTTACTCTCTTTTTAGTAATTCAGTCTTAAGCAATTGCTCTTTGTGCTTTTGAATTTTCGCCAAAAGATCCTTGTGGGAACGATTGGGGTCTTAAATACGCCCTATATTACTTGTTGTCGCGTATACTTGCGCGCTACTTGTATAAACATTAGCAAGGCAACATTTCACATGCCTTTATTTTTCTTACCTGACAAAAAAAGCCTTCAAATATTTTAGATTCTACAATTATATATGTAATGCATCAGCAAAGAGCTTACATGGTGGTTCCTAAGTTTCCTAAAAGGTCTCCAAAGCTGATATTACGAACTCCTTTGGCAACAGCATTTTGGAAGACACCTACACAAACAATGCAGCTGACAGAATTAACAAATATATTAATATAATCATTACAATGGAGAAATATTATCTGCAGCATACGGTCACAACTGTTTAAAATTCACCTAAACAAAACAAAGTAAGAACCTGTCAAAGCCTTTGTAACAGCTTCTTTGTCTGTTGTTGGGGGAAGAAGCCTGATAAAATTTAAAAGTAGACCAATCTTGTAACAACGAAGATAGTCACTTCAATAACTGAAATGGAACATAAATAATCATAAATACCCTAGAGTGACAAAGTCCTTAGCCAATGCATCAAAATCGCGATTTACAAGATGTAGGCAAGCTTCAATGAATCCATCACGCAATTCTTGTTTGAATTCACCTGTCATACCAAAATCTGGACCAGAAAAAGGGAAAAGGAAAATGAAAAAAAAAATTATTTGCTTTTGTTAACTGAAGAAGAAATGAGAGACTTTTAGTGAAACTTGTGGGTCTCAAATACACAACAGTGCTTGAATTATATAGCCAAAAATAATTAATACAAAATAAATAGAGATATCAATACTATCCTAATTACCGCAATTACAAGAATCTGACTATCATATTTACATAATCAACAAGATATTATTTACATAAACAGAGAATATTGTATTTTCCTTATTATGTTGTTACAAGACGGCTGCATAAATAGGTAAAAAGGAAAAACACTGTACTATAAAAGTTGTAGGCCTAAAAAGACAAGGAGAGGCATGTACTAAAAAAATAGAATCTACTAAAAAAAAAAAAAAACAAGGAGGCAATCTGTGCAGTAAAAGTTATATACTAATCTAGGCCTTCATGACTAGGAGCTAATGACTACACTTAATGACTAGGCCTTAATCCTGCCCAATCCTCATCAGTACAGCTTCTGTTCACATTCTTCTTGAAATGAAGACCAACATATAGGGTACCCTTTAAGGTATTAAAAGATTTGCTTGACTGCCTTCATGTAGTTTGGAGTTTGTCATATAACGACTTGTCATACTCACAGCTAACCCAATTCGTGGCCTGGTATAAGTTAAATAAATAAGTTAATTTCCCCACTAGTCCTTTGTACCTGTCTCAACTACCTCGAGGACTTTGTTCTTCTGTCTCACATTTTCTTGCAAGTTCCATTGGGGTGTGATAAGGACCTTCTACTCAAATACAAATACAGAAATAACATAAAGAACAAGGACTTTGGCCTGAATAATCAGATTTTCATATATTCATCAAGAGATAAATACAATCCGGAAACAAAGAAAATTACAAAGAAAGAAGAAAATTACAATTAACTGGAAATGCACTAACAGAAAAGGAAATAACAGTAAAGGATAATTCTAGAGGAATTCTAGAGCTCCTAATCTCTCCCAAATCACCCTAAGGTGCCCAAGGTTCCAAATGCCCAAAGATGCCTCTCCTCACTTCCCTGCTGCCTTTTAACCACCTCACCCTCTCTCCTTGCCACCTCACCCTTCTAACAAAATTGGAGCCTTCCAACAACCTCACCTCTAGAATATTCCCTTTATTAGCCGAGTCATTCTTCCTAAATAATTCCCTGTGGCAATTCTTATGATAAACCATTAGTGGGGTCCTATCAATACTCCCCCCTAAACACTCACCTTGTCCCCAAGGTGAGGTTTAGCCCTCAAGAGCCTTCTACCGGGGTCCCATTGCATGAATTGTAAAGATTCATACATACTTGAGGCATGATAACTTCCACCCGGATCCCATTACTCATCTTCAAATAATCCAACAAGTGCAACAACAACAATGCAACATATATCATCATTAAACATGCAAAAAAATTTATGATTTCCACGGGAATCCCATTGTCCTTTTGCAGTGGTTCCATCATCTTTCCTAGCAAAATAAACTTCTGCAACTATGTTTACAGCAGCATAAAAGAAATACATTTTTAGTATTGGGCCTTCCACCAAGTCAGATCTGTTTTGAGCCAAGATATTAACCTTTATCATTGTTTTTCCATGATGAGATTCTTGTGTTTCTCTCAACTCGTCATTGACAGTAAAAAATCGCTATGGTCCTAATATGATGCTTTGTTTCGTAGCTTGCACCTTTTGCCTCTGAAACACCAATCCTTAGATGATCTTCTGAATTCTGCTTCTCCACAAAACCCAACGCGTGCTTCACTTCCCAAATGGGCTGCAAAATCAATAAGGTGGAAGAGCCATTCCACGAACCCAGTGTCACGACTTAAGACCACCCACCTTACCTAAGGCTCGACAAGAGTCTATTGCAAGGCAGTTTGACAATTAATTTGAAGTACATAACAACATTCCAGGAATTAACATCATTATTAAAAGTTGTTGTTATTGTCAATAACAAGAAGTTACCATATATACCAACAATATAATCTAGTTTCTCCTCTATTTTTAATTGCCATGCTTTGGATGTTAACACAGTAACATAAACTCTAGCTTCCTTTCCACTTGCAGAACTAGCCTCCAATTTTTCATGGGCCATATCACCAAAAATTTAATGGGCCTATTAGTGTCCACTCGAAATTGCCCAAGGCAAGCTGTACCAACAACAGCGGTTACCCTACTCTTTCCCAATTGACAATTAAAAACCCAGTCAACATCTTTTGCAAAAAAAACAACATTAATTGCAATAGGAATTGCATTTTAAGAAGAGACCCATCAACTTCCAGGATTTTAAAAAATTTAGAAATTTTTCGAAAATAAAAAGTACCGTCTCTCTACGGCAAATCTCGAATCAAGCTTCTCCACCTTTGCTTTGCCGTCTTCACTTGGAGATCTTTCATTCCTTGTCTCCTCACCATCATCGTCTTCTTTGTCGGTCAGCAACAAATAGAGCTGGGATACCTGACACCTGTGGCCTGGGTTTCAACGCTCGTCGCACGTAAAACAATGACGTCGTGCTGCCAATCACGAAATTCCACTTGGAACATCCGTCGTCCATGGCTCCCGTGGCTTTCTTGCGTGTGGCCTCCAGTGTTGGTCATCAACTCCTTCGTCGTCGCTCCATCATTAGGGTTCTCCATTTGAGTGCTTCGTGGATTCGAATAACCCACGTTCGAAAGATTGGACCCGTTAAGTGAGTTCACTTGCTACTTAGATCTCCTGGGCCCGTTTTGGAAGAAACCCAACTCTTGGTCTCAACTGGGCTGGACCTAGTTCATTGGCCCACAACTACAAGATGCGAACATTGAGTCCAGTTTCTCTCAATTTTCCCTAATGCTTCCTCCTTCCTTGCATCATTCCTCCTCTCTATCTTCATCGAACACTTCACCATGTCCGTCAGATTAAGCGGCGGCATCATCAACAACTCCTCACGAATGCTGCTTTTGACTCCATTCAGCCAAGCTTTTTTGAGCAAATCTTCATCCTCAAATCTCTACACCCTTATCACCTTCTCAAATTCCAACCTGAATTCTGCCATAGTCTCAGTTTGCTTCAAAGTGTACAGAGCACGATAAGCATCAGCATCCTCGCCTGAAAATGTGGAAATCTCGAGTCGCCGATGGTTATGATTAAAAGAATTTCTCCTCCGTTCGAACCTGTCCCCATCCCCTGCTACACTACCCGAATCATTGCTGGCAGGGAAATCTTCTTCGTTACGGGAACGACTCCGTCGTCTTCCTGCCATCTCATCCAACCTCTTGAGGATTTCAATCACTCGCACTTCAGTCACTTCAAGCCTTCGAATCACCTCGTCCTAACAAGCGTCAGTCTTGTACAGCTCTTCCTCCAAAGCATTCAATCGATTCTCTATATTTTTGGTAGTAAACATCCCAAGATCGGAGCTCTGATACCAATTGATAAGGACCTTCTACTCAAATACAGAAATAACACAAAAACAATGAATTTGGCCTGAATAATAAGATTTTCATATATTCATCAAGAGATAAGTACAATCCGAAAACAGAGACAATTACAAAGAAAGGAGAAAATTACAATGGACTGAAAATGCACTAACAGAAAAGGAAATAACAGTAAAGGATAATTTTAGAGGAATTCTAGAGCCCCTAGTCTCTCCCGAATCATCCTAAGGTGCCCAAGGTTCCAAATGCCCAAAGATGCCTCTCCTCACTTCCCTGTTGCCTTTTAACCACCTCACCCTATCTCCTTGCCACCTCATCCTTTCTAACATAATTGGAGCCTTCCAACAACCTCACCTCTAGAATATTCCCTTTATTAGCTGAGTCATCCTTCCTAAATAATTCCATTAGTGGGGTCCTAAACATCAAGCTAAAGATGAGGAATTGATCACTAGCACATAGTTACCCACAATTACCAACACTTCTTGTCATCATGAAGTTTATAGATCATATGTACCAAGCTTGACCTTTCAAAAACTTATTGAAACATCTTCCATTTGATCGTTTGAGTGGACAAAGCTAGTCGTGAAGAGAAGTGTGAAGCCAACAAAAACTTGCAAATATACATTTGTATTAATCCTATTAAGTGCCACATATCAAGAAACGAACAAGCCATACCAAGTGTTTAACGTATCTCAATCATTACATCCTCAAAACTAGAAAATTTTTGTAAACATTAACTAAGAAGCCAAAAGAATATATGCCAAAAAAAGATATATTAAGCATTTGAGAACACAAAGGATTTGAAATATTAAACTTTCCATTTTGAATTACCTAAATAAGCTAATTTGCCATCATATGTCCGAAAGAGATTTCCGGGGTGTGGATCTGCATGATAGAACCCACACTCAAGAAGTTGATTGAATGAGCAGTAAACTCCTACCTAATCAGCATCAGAAAATACAACATATGCTTAGCATCATTATACAAAAGCAAAAACTATACAAATTAAATTTAGAATAACTTGTTTGCAACTAGTTTCATAAATGACCTCAATCAGGTAGAGATCCTTCACTTCTGACAACTTTTTCCCCTACAATATCATAGAAAGATAATGCATCAGTAATAGTCACAATTTTTTTCAGCAGGCATTGAAGAGGGAATGGATAGGAGAAAATGGCCCTATGTGCCTTGACTTATTTCCAAGGGAGAGATACTTAAGTTAAATATCCAGGAAATAAATCTGAAAGCCACACCACATCATTTAGGAAGACTATTTCCCAGTGATATGTAATATAATCGATCTCTAGGTAAGTATAAATTGTTCTAGTCTGTTAGAAATAGAATTGTATTATTATTATTCTATTATTCTAGAAGGTTATTTGGGCTTGGCCCATTAGGTCATTTTACCTCTTTGAATAAAGGACTCTTGTACAGTTCTATATACAATTGAATACAATACATTCATACATATTAATTTGGTACCAGAGAGCTCTTTGTTCTAGAAACTTTCGCTTTCGCTAAAATCCTAAGCCAATGCTTAGGTGTTCTCTCCTTCCACTACACCGTCCATCCCTCCGGCTTGTTTCTGCAACTATTCATGCGGGTACTGTACATCAACGTTACTGTTCGCGTGCCACTATTCATCACGCCCCGTACGATCACTATTCATCGTGTCCGTACGGGTATTGTTCACCACGTCTGTACAGATACTGTTCATCGTGTCCGTACAGTCACTGTTCACGCATCTTTTTCCGGCCATTCCAAGATAGAAGAGCTCGCCTTCTCGTCCTCTTTCCATATATGGTCTTCGTTCGTTGTCGGTCCCCTCCGTTAGGAAGATATCGGCAAAAAATCCACTGTTTAGACATCTTTTTACAACGTTTTTGCACGATTTCTTGTTTCCTTGCAGTTCCTTGCTATTTTCTGGTCATCTCATTTATTTTTGCGATGAAGAGCTCGAGTGATGCACTCAAAAATACTACTGGTATCATCTCCAATACTACCTCATCCATTACAACAATGAAACTAACCGGATCTACTACTTATAAGAACTGGTCTACCTATGTTAAGATCTGGTTTGCTGGTCAGGGACACGGGAAACATCTCATGACCAAGTCTGCTGATATTCCAAAGGATAAGATATCTGAATGGGAAAAGATTGATATCCAACTGCTAAGTATCCACTGGCAATCCATTGATCCGGCAGTTATAGACATTTTCATCCCCTTTGAGACCTGCCATGACGTATGGGAGGAAGCCAAAATCCTCTACACCAATGACATTCAGCAGCTTTATTCCATTGTTAATAAGGAAAGCACACTCGCTCTTCATTTGCTAATAGAGTCAATAAAAGAGCTGATGCTCCCTTTTCATTGTTCATTCTGATATTTAGGGTCCGAGTCGAACTATGTCTGTTTTGGGTTTTCAATGTTTTGTAACATTTATTGATGATTTCTCTCGTTGTACTTAGGTTTATTTAATGAAAAACCGTTCTGTATTATTTTCAATTTATCAAAAAATTTGTTATGAGATAAATACTCAATTTGGTGCTTCTATTCAAATCTTGTGCAGTGATAATGCAAAAGAGTATGTGTCTCTTGAAATTACTAATTTTTTGGAAAAACATGGGACATTACACCAAACCACTTGTCCACACACTCCACAACAAAATGGAGTGGCCGACGTAAAAATAGACATCTAGTTGAAACTGCATGTACCTTCGTATTCATATGAGTTCCACTCCGTTTTTAGGCAAATGCTATATTCACATCTATGATTGAAATAGCGGCGCTATAGCGCGCTATAGCGGTTCTGGTGCGGGTTGCGGCACCCGGCCGCAACTTTCGCACCGCGACGCCACAGTTTCCGGTAGCGGCCGCTACAAGGAAAGGAAGGGGAATTGCAGACGTAAATGGAGAAAACGAAACGCTGAAAGTAGGGTGGCTGTGTTTATTAAATTAGATTATCATTTAAGGGTATAATGGGAAAAAGGCAGGATAAATGAAGGGTAAAATAGATATTTAACTTAAAAAGCCAGCCATTTTTAAAAAAAAAAAAAATTTAAGTTTGAATCAGTCATCACGTCACATGCGCATCTTCCTCCCTGCTGTGGTGGAACCACACTCCTTGTTGTGACGTACACATCTTCTTGGCTGTCACACACATCTGCTTTTCAGATATTAGTCTATCTCTGCACGTTTCCCTTTTTTTTCATTGTTGATAATATGTTTTCAATTCCTCCATTTTAATAACTATTTTAAATTTTTTATGTGTTTTAAAAAAAGTGTAAATTTATAATTTAAACAAGATATAAATTAAATTAGAAAAGAGTTTGTTTTTAAAAAGGGTTTATTTTTAAACTTTTAAAAATTTTCAAATTAGAATCACATAAATTTTTAGATGTGATATATAATTTAAAAAAGTGGAGAAAAGATATAAAATTTTAACATATTTCATCTATTTAAATTAGAATCAGATGATATTAAGTATTAGTTTAAAGAATATTTTTTTATATAAGGGTTTGTTTTATTAAAAATAAAAAATGTTAGAATGTAAGTGTCAATTATCAAGAGAATAAAATGAAAAAATTAATTATATTATTTTTTATTAAATTTAATAAAAGATACAATGAAAATATTTTCTAGTTTAAAGTAATATAAATGCAGATTACCAAAGATAAAATAAAGTATAAATACATGTAAAAAATATATATATTTACTTGCATTTGTTTTTTATATCTTGCTGATGAAAAGAGAGGGAAATATTGTTTTCTTCCCTCGTCTTTTTCATCGTTTTCTTTCCGTAGTCTTTTGCTGAGAAGAAAAGAGGCAAATATGGTTTTCTTTCCGTAGTCATCTTCTTTCCCTTTTCTTCTTTTCTTGGACTTTGAAGATCTGAAACTGAACTAGATGAGTAGCTCTGAAGACTTTCGTGGGACTTTGAAGATATGAAACAGCCACTCCATTGAAGGCCCTTTGTTTTTTCTCCCTTGTTTTGCGACTGTTCTGTTTTTCCATTCTCCACTCTACTGGTTTTTTGGTTTTGCCTTTTTCCTTGAATTGGTTTTGTTGAGTGGAAGCCCCTGTTGTTTTCTGGTCATGGCATCACAAAATATCCAACAAAACAACTCAGCTTCCATGGCTTCTTGCGGATTGTAAAACCCACCGGTGAAAATCTTAATATGGCATGGCAGTGGAATAGTTTAAACGATATCAATAACAAGAGATATAACATGTGTTTTTTGTGGGAAAGTTACAACGGGTGGCATCACAAGACCCAAAAGACACCAGATTGTGTTGAAGGGGGATGTGGGTCCTTGTAGAAAAATCTCACCAGAAATTAAGAAGATTATGAAAGATGCTTATGTGCAAAAGCTTGCTGAAAAGGATGCATATAGTGTTGATATACACGAAGATGATGATATGCTAAAAGAGGTGCAAGAAATTCAACACATTAAAAATGGGAAAAGGAGTGAGGCAGCTTCAAGTGAAGCCTCAAATTGTAATACTGCTGCTGCTGCCAAGAGAGTTAAAGGCCCCTTGGATTTACTTTTTTTTAAGAAACCAGAAGCAAGCATTAAAGTGGGCAAAGGAAAGAGGCAAACAAGCATAAATGATGCTTGTGATAAAGAAGCAAGGGCTAGAACTATTCAATACATTGAAAGATTTTTGTGTACGAATGGAATACCTTTCAATGTTGTACGTTCAAAAAGCTTCAAGTACATGGTTGAAGCAATTGGGAATTACGGTCCAAGTCTAAAGCTCCCAAGTTATTATGAGTGCAGAATTCCTCTACTTAAAAAGGAATTGGATTATACCAAGGATTTATTAAAAGATCATGAGGTACAAAGAGCCAACTATGGATGTTCCATTATGTCGGGTGCATGGACTGATAGAAAGAATAGGACGTTGATAAATTTCTTCGTGAATTCTCCATCCGGGTCTATGTTTGTGAAGAGCATTGATGCTTCTTCTTATGTCAAGAGTGGATCAAAATTATTTGAGCTTTTAGATAATTTTGTTGAAGAGATTGGGGAGAAAAATGTTGTTCAAGTGGTGACCGACAATGGAATCAATTATGTATTGGCTGGTAAGACACAATTTGTTTAATTTAACCTCACTTAATGTTAATTTTTATTTTACTTGTTACTCATTTTAGGTTGTTTAATTTGTTCTTAGGAAAATTGTTACAAGCGAAGAGAGAAAATTTGTTTTGGACTCCATGTGCTGCACATTGTTTGGATTTGATGCTTGAAGATATTGGAAAAATTAAGAGAGTTAAAAAAGCAATACAAAGAGGCATCAAGCTTGTTGGGTTCATTTATAATCACACATTGGCATTGAACACAATGAGGAAGCATACAAGCAAGACTGAATTAGTTAGGCATGGAGTGACAAGGTTTGCTACAACTTTCCTCACATTACAAAGGCTTCATAAGCAAAAAAATAATCTTAGAAAGATGTTCACATCAGATGATTGGCTGAAATCAAATACAGCAAAAGACCCTAAGGTAAAAAGGGCGACTGACACTGTACTTATGCCATCATTTTGGAATGACGTTATTCATTCTTTAAAGGTTATGGGGCCTCTTGTGCGGGTGCTTAGACTTGTTGATAATGAAAGAAGGCCCGCAATGGGATATATATATGAAGCAATGGATAGGGCCAAGGAAGCAATTCAAAAATCTTTCAATCGAAATGAAGATAAATATAGGGATGTTTTTGCAATAATTGATAGAAGATGGGACTGCCAACTTCACCATCCATTACATGCTGCAGGCCATTATCTAAACCCCGAATACTTTTATGCTAATCCAAAGATTGATGATTATGCTGAATTGATAGTTGGACTATATAAATGCATTGACAAGCTAAGTGCAAATGAGGAAGAGGTGGACAAGATACATGGACAATTGGAAAAATATAGGAGTGCAGAAGGCCTTTTTGGTATGAATACAGCAATAAGACAAAGGAATAAAATTGCTCCTGGTAAGTAAAAGCACACTTATTTGATCACTTTGAGCTTTTATTTAACAAGTGGTAATGTTAACAAATTGCAATTTGCATTACAGCTCAATGGTGGAAGTCGTATGAAGCACATGTTCCAAATTTGCAAAACCTTGTTGTTAGAGTGTTGGGCTTAACTTGTAGCTCATCGGGATGTGAGCGTAATTGGAGTACTTTTGAGCATGTAAGTACTTGTTAAATGATTTTTGTTTGTAGAGTTTCATATCATGATTGTGAAACTAATATTCTTTATTGGAAATTGTAAACTAGATTCATTCTAAGAAGAGAAGCAGGCTTGAGCATCAAAGGTTGCAAGACTTAGTCTTTATTAAGTATAATCAAGCTCTTAAAGAACGTTTTGAGAGCCGTGATTTGGTTGATCCTATTGTCCTAAAAGACATTGATGAAAGTAATGAATGGTTGGTGGGAGAAGTGGGTGAAAATGGAGAAAATGAGTTCGTTTTTTATGATGATACATTGACTTGGGGAGATGTTGCTAATGTAACTGGGGCTAATGAGCCTATAACTTACACTAGGCAGCATACTAGATTCAGGAAGGAACCTGCCTCTATGCCATCAAGCTCTAGGGGAATAAGGGCTGAACAGATTGAAGAAGGTGATAACCAAGAAATAGAAGATGAGGATGAACAAATCTACAAATTTAACACTAGTGAAGAAAGTGAGGGTGGAGAAGAACAAGGCTTTGAAGAAATGTTTGATAGTTCTTTTCCTTCTTGACTTTGATAGAGCAATTTGTATTTGACTCTACTTGGATCCTTTATGTTCCTAGAATATTATTAATTTAGTTTCCTTCAATGAACTAGTATGTTGCTTCCTTATGTTCCCTTTAATCCTTGTTTTGAATGTGTAGTATCATACTTTTCATTACTTATTTCCTCCTATTTTGGGTGATTTATTATCTTATAGCATTTATATAGTGTAGAATATGTAGAATATTCTAGATAGTATTTATTGATGTAGTTGGTAGTTCTATATTTAGTTGGTAGTTGTATATTTATTGATGTAGTTGGAGGTTGCATATTTATTAAAGTAGTTGAGGTAGTTGGATGTACTCAATATAAAAAGGACCCATTGGGTCTCTCAATGAATCAAGAAAGTATTATTCAGATAAAACACTTCTTCCACTTCTTCTTTTCTTCATGGTATCAAGAGCTGGTTATATTCCAGTCTCCTCCCCGTTCTGATTTATTTTTAAGTCATTTTCCTATTCCTTTTTTTTTGTTTTAGCCACTACCCAAGCCAGAATCCTTACCTAGACACCTCCAACCACGAAATCAAGGCCACCATTAGGTTCAGAACAAAATTCCGAGCCAGCCCACAGAAGACCCGTGGCAGTACTGTTCATCACTGTAGCAATTACTGTTTCACTGTGGCCAACCCTCTTCTTGTTTTGAGGGTCAAAATCGTATTTGGAGGAACTTTTTTCTGGGTACCTGTTAGAAAGCCATGGATGCTGGAAATTCTGAAATTTCGTCTGGAACCTCACCCCTTCCCAACTCTTCGTCTTCTGGAGACAACCCAGCAATGCAGATCACCGGTCACCGTTTAAACGGTAGGAACTATGTGCAATGGTGTCAATCTGTTAAGTTGTTTATCCAGGCTAAAGGGAAGATGGGGTATCTCGATGGAAAAAAGGTAAAACCAGCAGAACGTGAACCTGGTTATGATGCTTGGGTGACTGAAAATGCTTTAGTCGTGACATGGCTGACTAATTCTATGGAACCAGATACCAGTCAAACTTATTTATTTCTTGATACAGCTCACGAGATTTGGGAAGCTGTTAAAGAATATTACTCTGACCTGGGCAATGCATCTCAGGCTTTTGATCTCAACGCCAAGGTGAAAGAATTACGCCAAGGAGGGATGACTGTTACTGAATACTTCCTTGCTCTAAAAATACTATGGCAAGAGTTAGATCTTTATGATAAAGCAGACCTTCAAGGTTTATAAGCTAATGCAAGGTTCAAAAATTATATAGAGAAAAGACGTCTCTATGATTTTCTTGCTGGCCTTAATTATGATCTGGATGATGTTCGTGGAAGAATTTTGGGACAAAACCCATTACCTTCCCTTGCTACTGCTTTTTCTGAAGTACGAAGGGAGGAGCTTCGCCGAAAGGTAATGTTGGGTGATAAGGACTCTAAGTCCTCTGATGGGTCTGCCCTTATAGCAAAGAATACTGTTCGTCTTTCTGGGGACTCAAAACGTTCTGACCGTTGGTGTTCTCATTGCAATAAGGGTGGTCACACCCGTGAAAAATGTTGAGAAATTCATGGAAAACCACCAAACTTGAAACCAAAAGGACAGAACAAGAATCGTGCTAATCAAGTATCTTCCGAAGATAAAGGGGAGGTGTCTCATGTCCCTTCAAACCTTGAGGGTGTTTTCCTCTCTAAGGCCCAGTATGAGCAATTTCAGAAACTGATATCTCAACCTGCCGAGGCAACTAGTCATGTTGCTGAAAAAGGTATGGCATTCCATGTTGAACGTAGTAATCGTTGGATCCTTGATACAGGGGCCTCTGATCACATGACAGGTAATGCAACCTTATTTTTCTCCTATACCCCTTACTATCACCCGTCACAAATAAGAACAGCTGATGGGAATTTCTCCACTATTGCGGGGAAGGGATCCATTAAACTTTCTGAGCATATTATTTTGAATTCAGTCCTTCATGTTCCCTCTCTTACCTGTAACCTCATCTCAATTAGCAAACTTACTGCTGAGTTGCATTGTGTTGCTAAGTTCTCTGCAAATGCTTGTACCTTTCAGGAACAGGACTCGGGGACGATGATTGGCAGTGCTAGAGAGGAAGAAGGGCTCTACTATTTTAAAGAGGATCCTTGTGAAAGGAGGATTTTTTCAAACCACTCTTTATGTTTATCAGATGATTGTAATGATGTTTTGTTATGGCATCGTAGGTTAGGACACCCAAATTTTGTCTATCTTCAGAAGTTATTCCCGAACTTGTTCATCAATAAAAAGCCAAGTTCCCTTCTTTGTGATATTTGTCAGCTTGCAAAGCATTCTCGTGCCACTTATTCTCCTAAAAAATATCATGAATCTTCTCCCTTTACATTGATTCATAGTGATATTTGGGGACCTGCTCGTGAAAAAAATGTCTCGGGTGCTAGTTGGTTTATTACTTTCATTGATGATCATTCTAGGGTATGTTGGGTATACCTCTTGAAAGATAAGTCTGATGCGGCATCCACCTTTAAAAATTTTCATGCTATGATTCAAACTCAATTCCAGACCTCTATCAAAATTCTGCGAACAGACAATGGTACTGAATATTTTAATTCTGTTCTTGGAGATTACCTAAACCAGCATGGAATTATTCATCAAAGTTCTTGTCCTAACACCCCTCAACAAAATGGGGTGGCTGAAAGAAAAAATAGACATCTAATTGAAGTTGCTCGAGCTCTTTTATTCACGATGCATGTCCCTAAATATCTGTGGGGGGAAGCCGTCTTGACAGCCTCTTATCTCATTAACCGGATGCCTTCTCGGGTACTAAATTTTCATTCTCCTTTATCTTGTCTTACTAAATTTTTTCCCTCTTTCAGTGTTGTTTCTTCTCTTCCTCCCAGAATATTTGGCTGTGTAGTTTTTGTGCATATTCCTCCACATCACAGGTCCAAACTTGACCCTAAATCTGTTAGATGTGTCTTCATAGGATATTCCCCTAATCAAAAAGGTTATAAGTGTTACATACCTTCTCTCCGTAAGGTTTTTGTTTCCATGGATGTTACCTTTTATGAGACACAATCCTTTTTTTCCCCGACTTCTCTTCAGGGGGAGTCTATTGGTATTGGTATGGATGAAGATAAGCCTGGGAAACCAAATAATGTTGCTGTCTTATCTTGGCCTTTGGAAACAGGGGGAGTTATTGGGAAGGAAACAGGGGGAGCAACTATACCTGAATCTAATGATCCTCCTTGTGATCCTCCTGGTAAATGGAAAAAAATTTACAGCAGGCGCAAAACACATGAAGATACTCTAGACTGCCAGGATCCTGATTCGAGTCCTTGTTCCAGCAACCCACTTGAATGTACTAGTACAGCCAACATTGATATGCCTATTGCTCTTCGGAATGGTACTAGATCTTGCACTGCTCATCCTATTTCCCATTATATCTCATATGAAAAGTTGTCTCCAGGTTTTCGTGCTTTCAACACTATGTTAGATAGTACCAGGATACCCAAAAATATCCAAGAAACACTTGATGACCCAAAATGGAGGAATGCTGTATTAGAAGAAATGGATGCACTTACAAAAAATGGAACATGGGAGTTTGTGACATTACCTAAAGGAAAGAAAATTGTTGGTTGCAAGTGGGTGTTCACAATAAAATTCAATGCAGACAATAGCATCAATAGGTATAAGGCCAGATTAGTTGCTAAGGGATTTACTCAGACTCATGGGATAGATTATCAGGAGACATTTGCTCCTGT